CCTCAGGTCAGTCAGGTCCCACACCTCCAGACTCACTAACACCTTCTTCTGCTGGGCTGTTAATGAGCGATACTCCCCGCCCACCCACCTCAGCCATGGTCTGAGTAACCTAATCACTCAGGGCACTCACAGACACACGGACTCTATTCAGGCCAAGTCTTTTTCTTTGCACTACCTCCAAGCACTTTGCAACTTTTTCTCCAATGTGTGCCTTTCTGTTGCTTGTATATATCCCTCTTGAATGTATATCTCCTGTATACTACTTATTCTTGCTGTCTGCCAATTATATTTAATTCCAACATAGTTGGTGTGGAGGAAACACAATTTTTTTGTACATGTACAATGACAATAAAGGGCTATTCTATTCTATTCTATTCTATTCTATTCTATTCTAAAAGCTTGGGAAATGAACTGTTCATCCAGCCTGACAACACACATATTTCTATCTAGTGTTCAATATCCTTCATACTGTGATTGAAAGAGTCCTATTTGTCTGTCTGTGTGTCTTTTTCCTCAACAAATTCATATTTTCAGCTTCATCATCTGACCAAAAATATACTAGAAAATGTTTCCAGACTGCTACAGTTTAAATGCTCATACCCACCAGGTGGCGCTACATCCTCATTTGAATTCTGCTGTAGAGTCATTTACGGGCTTTCATAGCGTACTGGGATTTCTTTGTAAGTAAAAAATTAAGCCGAACAAGCCACACTTATGTCCAGTTGTTGTTCTGGGGTTATATGGGTGACCCTATCTTGTTATGTATTAGATAGATAAACGAAAAGTGACGAAAAGTAAGCATGACGTCACTCGCGGTCTGGCCAGCCGCAGAGGCTTCTGGGTAGCTGCCGTGTCGGAGACATTTTGGATTTAAAGGGGCTGAGCTAGCCGTCAGTCCCAGCTCTCGGTAAGTGAAAAGCTGTATTTCCTCCGTGAAACGTTAGTCTTGTGTGAGCTTGTGTGTGGTTGTGTGCTTCGGGAGCATGGATTTGAGATGCTGCGTATAGAAATGAGCAGCTCTGCGCTTTGAACAGGATGAACTTGCGACATTTAGCCGGGGAGTGGTGACGCTATCGCTGGCTAGCTGAGAGCTAGCTGGGCGCTGAGCGGAGCTCTACACAGATCGGGCAGCAAGTAGGCAGTCAGAGCTTTCAAAACTAAAGAGTCTTCGATCATTAAAAAACCCCACAGTAAACCCATCAAAATTCAAGTGCGACCTTAGAGATCGTAACGAAATTGGTAGGTGAAAGAAGAAAATGTCATGGATGGCTAAAGCTATATGAAATTGTGTTATTCTAGTAAAGCGTCAGATGTCAGATTACCTGGTGTGTTTTGCGCTTTGAAGTGATGCCAAAATGTACACAGAGCTTTCTGTCCACATTAGCGGCAGTGCAGTGCTATTAACATGTAACTACCACGACTTTAGGATGGCGCCTCTGTTTTCAGCTGTTTGCCGTCATTATCGTCTCGGCTCGTTTGTGGGGAACTGCGATCTCGTCACAGGTGTCTGATTTTCCTGAATAATACTCCTCGGCATGGTACGATGCTGAAGTGAACATCTCTTCTTTTTTCCTAGCAATACGCAGGCATATTCATTTGTCAGACAGCTTTTAGTGGGAAGCAGCCCTCCAGCTGCTGGTTTTGTGTAGTGATGGATGACTGAGGACAGTCAGTGGCACCTCCCTGCTGGTTGTTTCCAGGCCCTGCCACACCCTCTGGGTTGGCTGGCTCTCCTTTGTGTCTCTCACAGTGATACCGACACTGTGTTGGATTGCTGTTTTATTGTGCAGGAAATAAGGATTATTAATCCGGTGGTGTCAAACTTCACCAAGTGGACAGGAAAGGCGTCCCCTTGGGAGATGGCTTTGGTTTGTCCCACTGGCTCGGCTAGGAATTTGCTGACTCCTCTCTGCTGTTTTCCCCCCATTTCCTCTCCCAGTATGCATCACACCCTTTCTCAAAAAGGGTAGGCTAGTAGGATTGTTTACAACTAAACACAGACCATTTTAAAGAAGACTAGATTATTATCTTAAGATGAGAGTTTTTAACCCTGCCTCACAGACAAAAAAAATGAATATGAAATTAAAGTTGGCAGCAGAGCGTCCACATTTATGCCAGTTGTTATTGCGTTAATCCACTGTTGTGATCTCAGTGGGGGGGAAAGCACTACCTTCACAAGTGATGGTAGTGATGATAGATGGGTTAGAAGAAAAGAGACGGAGTGAGGATGGTATTGGCCGAGAAGTAAAGTAATAATGTGAATCTTAAGGCATCCCGGGAGATGGAGACGAATGAAGGCTGTAGCTTCTGGATGAAGGCACCAGGCCGAGATTTCCACCGGTTAGAGGCGAATGAGCCAGTCATTCGCCTCTAACCGAGAGTACGCCGACCTCTCTGTTGAAATTGTATTTCATTCAATACATTGTTCCCTGCTCTCATACTGGCCTCGTGGTGGGAAGTGCTGTAATTGCAGTTGTATGACCTTTGAGCCTTCTTCAAGAATGACTCATCTAACTTGTCTTCCCGGTCCAAGTTGGGTAACAAGAGCTAAATCATGTCTATTCTGTTTATATTTTTCAGATTATTTTTAGGCTGCGTCTGTAACTGGTGTGAGTCACAGTTTAAAGTCCACACATCACATCTGTTGAGGTCCTGGAGTTTATGAATTATGATTTTCTTTAATCATAGTATTCAAACCATCCAGTGCTCAACTGCACACCCCAGCTGCACGAGTCAGCCTATGAACATCGCTCGGGTGACTATGTGAGTGACCTATCATGGCAGTGTAAATATTTTCTGATGTGCTGAAGGTAAACAGTATGTGAGGCATTTCCTTCTTAGTGCCATGATGAGTATTATATGTAAATAAGCTCAGTATTGATTGTTGTGCCTCATTAGGTCTCTTCCTTTGTGTGTGATGAGTATAGAGGAGAGGAGCAGGCTCTAGATCGGGATGACTCCCTCCCCCATCTGACCTGCTCCTCTGCACTCCTCTGTTTTTGTCCCTCTGTGGGCGGGCCCGTCTCCCGACGTGCACTCAAGCTGATGCTGGTTGTTCTGACAAAGCACTGGGGAAGGTCACATCATCCCGCAGGCAGCTTCTCGTCCTCATCCTCACCAAAATTAGCATTCGTCACTCTCATTACTGTCCAGCTTCATTTCCATTCGCTTCATTTTCACACTGAACGTTTATTGTGTTAATTTTTTTTGTTTGCTTGTTTGTTTTAAAAAAACAAAACAAAGGATCTCTCTTTGGATTAGGAGGGCAGGTTTATGATGCCGTTTGCTGGTGTGTAGCTCTTTTCCTCAAGGAGGAGGACATTATTTCACCAGCTTTTCCCCGTGCCAAACTGTGAGGTTCTGATCTGCTTCTGAAACCCAGGTTTGTTTTCTGGTACGAGCTGTAGCAGCAGAAAATACGATGAATGGCTTTTAGCCTTTAGCAGCTATTTGTCGCTTTGTTTAATGACTTTGTCGTGCATCGCTCTATTATTCCTCTATATATTCCACCTCAGTTTTTGTAAAGCTACATTTCCTGCTTTACCAGGGAGCGAGAAGAAAGTCTGTTAAAGCAATGCGTGTCATGTGCTTATTGAAATGGCAGGTCATGTAGCTGTGGGCTGGCAGTTTTGTTCAAAATGCTTTCCTGGTATGCATTTTCTAGCAACCTGACTCAAGCTGGAGAACCTTCGGTCATACTTGACCCTCATCATTCTTGAACCCAATGATGAGGTCACTTGTATTGAAGCCTGCATCGAGTGAATGTTTACTGCTGCGCACGGTAACGTGTGCCTCACGAGGGCACGTAAAAGCACCGTTGGCCTTTTTGTTGGTATAAGAGGTCATAAACTAGATATGTTGTCTTTCATTTATTTTGCTAGCATACTGCATTTGTGTTTTTCCATTTGATGATATCAGCTATTTCCCTCCCACATGATCTCATAAAACAAAGTAAATGTTAAATATTAATCCAAGGGCAGAGAACAACAGGACTGCTGGACTTCTCATATACCTCTTTAAACACTTGGGGAAATATTAACTCGAGCCGTCTGAGGAAAGAAACTCTCTAATTGGAGTGCTTTTTATTAAAAGTAAAGATGCTGGCTCACATGAAAGCACTTCTCTTGTAGACCCGGCTTTCATCCATACAGGTGTTAAACAGCTGAGTCGGAGGAGCTCTACAGGGTAATAAGCTGTTTGATCTGCGAGCAGTGTTGATCTTTCAAAGAAAACATTTCATATCGTGCTCACAGGAGTTAGGCGTCTCACAGCCAGACTTTCAAATGACTGCAGGCACAGATGAAAAATATAAAGCTGTCTGACACGCCTTCATGCAAAGTAAGGGTCTCTGCAATATTTGCTTTGACTTTAATGAAGCCTCAGTCCTTTGACATCTCTGTTGATCGTGCAAATAGAAGTTCTAGTTGATTTGTTTTTGGCATTTGAGTTTCATGGAACTGAGAGTTTTTCTTTTGTTTTTGTTTTCTTTTGAGTCTTTTCTGTTCGCTTTCATGTTTTTTTTCGCCTTCTAAATCCTTTATCTTCTAACGGCTTATTATTAGATTTTATAATGCGTATTATATAATTATATATTATATATTGTGAAAGCAGTTCTAAGCCAGCACCAAATACAACACTACAGAGTTAATATTTCTGTAGGATTGCTTTTGTACTTTTAATCAGAGTTCAGTCAGTTTGGGATAGAAAAGGGGGCTTCTCTTAAGAGGAGGTCTCTTTGAATTTTCCATTGTACTGCTCCCCGATTAGAATAACCATAGAGGGGTGGTTATATATGAAGTCGAGCGTGCTCCCCTCGTGGTACCATAGCTAATAAGCTCAGCATTGCTAAATACCATTGTTGAAGTGTTTTAACAGCTTAAACAAATGGTTTCCTGCTTTACCTGGGCTGTGCAGAGAGTTCAGGCATTTAACAGAAAAGCTTATCTTTCTCTCCCTAGAGATGAATTTGTCACAAAACATACAAAAAAAAAGTAAAATTTTCTGTTTTGAATTCGCAAATTAATTTAATCTGTCGGATTCATGAGGATAGCAAAGGTTTTAATTAGAGAAAAATGGGTGGTGGGGAGAATTAAGACCATTCTGTGTCCCCCCCATAACATATAAAATAGTGTTTTGTCACCCGTCTCTTATCGGCCCCTGCTGCTGTCCTGCCCAGCCGGAGACCCCAGCAGTTGCTTATTTTGTTGCTTTCCACAGGCTCATTGGCATTCAGTTGTCCACTAGGCAAGTACAGCAGCTGGTCCCTGGCTTGCTGTTCGGCCTGGTACATATTAGTATAATGAATAACACCCT